TGATAATTACTCAAGGAAGGTGCACTTGTAAGGTTATTTCCCTCACAAGTAAAGCTAGAGCAGTAGTGTATTTTTTTCCACTGCTGCTTCATTACAATTTTGATTGCAAAAGATTACCTGAGTCCATTCTAGCAGAAGGGTATCAGTCATTTCTCTGCTTGGTTAAAGTGTGCCTCCCAAGTACTGGAATTAAGAATAAGGGGTTCCTGTGTTGATTATGAAATTAGTGCTTCACAGCACTTATATCCCTCTCAGTCTCTCTCTTTTGCCTCAAGCACATATAAGTAACTAGTTGCCATACAAACATGTAAACCAAGATGTACTTTACCTTCTCAATACTTTATCTGTGATCTTTTGGGTAACAGAACTTCTTTCGCCATGTATGCTCAGGACCAAACATGTGAAATGGCAACCCTTCAGTATGAAAATTAGACCTGCTCTTAAACTCTTGTCCTGCACTTTCAAAAATGGTACCCTATTAAATGCTGTAGTCCCTCAATAGTTACTGTTGTAATTTGGAGTGGGGGGGGTCTTATACTAATTTAAAAAAAAAGATTGAGATGTTCTTGTCAGAGGAAACATGGCCTGTGCTTGCAGTGATTCTGACACCAGGAGTGTTAGACACTGCTGGTATTTTTTGCTTTATAGAGATGGTGTGATTATATTTGGTGTTTTTCTCATTAGAACCACTGGGAAAGGATTTGTTAAATTTAATTTAGGAAATCTGCTATTTATAGATGAATGCATGGTTGCATCTCTCTCCAGTGGCACTGGAAGTTGTATACAAGGTGAAAGCCGGAAATCTCCCATTGAACTATCAACGTAAGTTATGCAGGTTGCAATATTAGCTTAAGAGCTGATCTTCAGAGTCCCTGTTGCACATCCCATGACCTTGAGGGGATGGGTATACAAAACAGGGCATTCCTTGTAGCAGCATCCCAGTTATGAAACTCCTCCCAAGTGCAGTTTGCCGCTCCTGCCGCAGCCTGTCTAGCTGCAGCTGCAAGCAATGCAGCAATTCCACTGTTCTCTAACGCTACCTGCACCCTTAACTGTGATGCTGGCAAAGGTGAGGCGAAAAGGACCGGCACTGTCTGGTTCCCGGCACCCCACGGCCAAGCGCTTCCAGGCTGTGTCATTCCTGGTGCATTGATACTCTCACCTGCTTGTGTTCCTGCTTATGCCACTGACAACACACTGACAGGGCCCTCATCAATATTGGTTGGCAGACACTGCTTCTACCTTCAGCCTCATCTGCCAAGGTTTGTGTGTGTGTGTGTCAACACCATCCGTGGCTGTCCTCGCAGATGCCTTGCTTGTGGGATTCCACTCCTTGGCCTTGCTGGGGCAACTGTTGTCGACGGGGCCCCTGCAGGGCTGGACTGTTCTACTTCTAGAACAGCAATACGAGACAACAGAAAGTCTCCCATCTGTGTAAGCTCTGCCAACTTTTGAGCCTTAGACTCCCAATGTGGCTTCCTTACTGCACAAGACCCCTCAGCCCCTCTACTTAAGAGCCCTTTTCTCTTTCAAAGACACTAGGTTTTTACCACAAGAATCTATAGTCCAGCCAGTCCAATTTCCACCAGGAAATTGCTGGTGGGGAATGTGGGGGAGAGCTTTACACTTAACAGGCTGCTTACCTTTTGACACACACACACCCATGCCCTTTTTAGAAGCCATATTACAATATCTGCCTGGTCTGGTGACCTGGCCCTTTATAGACCTAAACATCTACTTCACACTCATGTTACCAAACCACTCTTCACAACTTACTCTCTAAAATGTGTCTCCCTCCCCTGTGATGAACTTATGGAATATTAATTCAAAACTATTAATGATTAGTATTATTTATTTATCTATTTATCTATTTATGTTTTTATTTTAAACCAACCAACAATATATAACTACCACTGGCAACACGGCCCAGAAACCCAGGCAGCTGACTGCCCCTATTAGGTATTATTACTAGTGTTATTTATTTATCTATCTTGTTTTGATTTGTTTTAAAGGAAGCAATGTACCAACAAAGAGGAGATGGGGGAGTGTTATGGAAAGCTACAATATATGCATGTATATATATATATGCAGGGGAGAAGTATGAGAGTGGGGGTAGTGAAGTCACATTTTAAACATGAATATATATTTTATATTATTATATAACATATTTTAAAGGCAGGGGTTGCTACCAGGGCACCAGCTCCTACCACCAAACTGTTCCTTATAGCCTCTTTCCTACTGTTGCTGCTGTAATTATTTAATATTATTTTAATGTTTAAAATGCGACTTCACTACCCCCCCATTCCCATACTTCTCCCCTTCATCATCATCTTCTTCTTTAAAACAAAACTCAGCCTAGCCCCAAAGGCTCTTAAAGGAAACCCCGCCATGTTTTTCCAAAGGTAAAGGTAAAGGTAAAGGTTCCCCTTGACAATTTTTGTCCAGTCGTGTGTGCGAAGGAGCGCCACAGGGCCACGTGGCTTGAAAACAAAACCATGGGACGGATGCAGTGCGGACACAGATCTCACTAGCCTCGTTCAGCAAAGAAATGGCAAGGTGAGGCTGGGCAGCCTCCTTGAAGGCTTTGCTCTAGCTCAGCGCCTCGCCCAATGTTAGGTAGCGACTCTGGCTGTGTCCATCCGGGCGGCAAAGAAGCCCTGCCCCGGCAGCTACGTGCCTTGCGGGGAGGCAATTCTCCTTCCCTGCATTAAAGAACACTGAAATATGACTTGAAAGTAAAGAATTGGTATGCCTCCTATGTTGGAAGCAGAATAGACCTGTTCAAAAATATGTTTTGAAATAATATGTCTTCCCATGTTCAGATGTCCATATCCTAACGTTCTGGTTTGAAGATGTCTTCCTGATCTCCCTACCTAATGAGATGAGGCAGATGATTACAATAATACAGGGAGTTTTCAATATTGGTGTTGCAGCTGTCAAAAGCCCTTCCTAGAACAGCTTGCCATTGCACTTACATTGTGGTCATTTTAGTGCCAGATTAAAAAAAAAATAATAACTTAATTCTTCCAGGGATTGTAAGAACTGGTTTTATATACTTTGCATTGCTTTATTTTTTTACTGCTGGATTTTGACTTTGATTTTGTTGGCCAAAATCCTTTTGCATAGTGAATCATTGCTAGAGTAAGCCTTTTGCATCAAGGGGAATTGAGTGAGTCAACTTCTCAAGTTCCATTGAATTGCTGTGCTAAAATAAATTGCAGTTAGAGTAGGCCCATTTGAATCAAAGTAATTTATAGAGGACTTGAGTCTATTGATTCAGTGGGCCTACTCTAGTGCAATTTACCATGCTAAGAACAGGATTTTTGGCCATCATGTGTTGTACTGTCTTTACCCTTTGCCATTGATGCTATTTTTGGCTGTCTAATTGTCTTTGTTCTATTATGACTTTTTAATGTTATTTTTTTAAATTCATGCTACCTAGAGAACTTTGACTGTAAGGCAGCTTTAAAAAGTATGTGTGTGTGATGCTGCCCTCTGAAACAGCATGATCACCTAGCCTCCATGCTGAATATGCTACTGATATATATTTTTAAAGTGACCTTTTTTTTGTATTTTGGATCATGATGACCTATATTTCTCAGGATTATGATGATTTCCACATTCTGAACTGGGCAGGGTGAAACTGAATATACTATATGAAATAGGCTGTGCTCTTTTCTTTCTTTATTTCCCCCGTAAAAAATTCCTGTAACACTGCTAACCTACATGTATGTATAGTCTGTTAAACTCGCGGGACTTTCTTCTAAGTACAGTAGGAGCCCATTATCCATGAGATCAGTATCCACAGATTCACTTATCCACAGCCTGAAAATATTAAAAGTATTAAATGGAAAAAATCGAGAAAAAATTATTGCACGTGTGTTACCAGAACCAGCTACCAGATGGAGCCAGAAACCATGCTATGAATACTTGCTAGTGAAGAATATTTATTATTTATTATAATGTTTGGATTATGTCTAAACTGATTTGCTATATAATATATTTTAACACTGGGTAAACTGAGACCTCTCTCTTTTTGTGATGTATACCAAAACCTCTTGCTAATCCCTGCTCTCTTATTATGATCACAATAAATATTTACCAAGCTCTGCCATTCTTTCAACTGTTTTTCAATGATCTTTATTGGAAGCATCCAAATTTTTTTAAAAAAATTAAATTAGGAATAATATTCATTTTACATAACACTCTTCTACCAAACCAAGAAATCTTTGTATATTCTTTTATCTGTTCACTTATCTCTTTCTTCAATGTATCCAAATTAATTCTAACTGTATCTTGTAAATTCCATGTGATTTTTATCCCTAAATATTTAATTACACTTACTAGGCTTCCTTCATATATATTTTTCAATTTCACCTTCTCCTCTTCAGAATGATTTAGCAATAAATACTTTTCACATACACTTTTAATTGCATTATATCCTCAAAGAATCTCAAATGCACTTTAATTCTCTCTGGATTATTAATAGTAGTGTATCATCAGTGAAGAAATGTATTTTATTATTTTCTCTATGATCTATTCCTTTAATTTATTTATCCTTTCTACTTACCTGCCCTAATAATTCTATTATCAATGTAAATAATACCGGGGATAAAGGGCACCCTTGTCTCGTTCCTCAGTCTAGAGATATTGGCATAGTTATTCCATCATTTACTATAACTCTAGCTGTGTTCTGTGAATATAATTGTTGGATTAACTGACTAAAGTGATTACCAAACCCTATTTGTTTGATCAAAAGCTTTAATGTATACCATTCTACTAAATCAAACACTTTAAATATATCTAAAATATATCTAAAGATAAAACTCCTGCTTTAGAGTTTGTTTTCTTTGCTAAATGCAGTGGTACCTTGCAAGACGGTTACCCCTCAAAACAACGAATACACATGATGACAATGTTTTGCGGCAGCCATTTTGCTTCGCAAAACAGTGGTTCCTATGGGGGAATTTCGCTGGATGCCAATTTGGTCCGTGCTTCACTGACTGTTTTTTCACAACACGATGATTTAGAACAGCTGATCAGCGGTTCGCAAAGCGGCTTTCCTCTGGCCAATCTTCGCTAGATGACAATTCTTCCCATTGGAATGCATTAAATAGGTTTCAATGCATTCCAATGGGGAAATGCTTTTCGCTAGATGATGATTTCGCTAAACAGCGATTTCAATGGAACAGATTATCATCGTCTAACGAGGCACCACTGTACATTAAACTGAGTACCCTTCTAATTAAATCTGTCATTTGTCTAACTTGTAAGAATCCATTCTGATTTTTCTCAATATATCACCCAGTGAAACTTTTTAATCTATTTGCCAAGACTGCCGTAATGATCTTGACATCTTGATTTATCAGTGATATAGGTCTATATTTTTCCATGTTCATTGGATTTTTACCAGGCTTCAGTATTAATACTGTTGTTGATTCCTTTCAGGACTGGGGAATTTCTTTCCTTCTTAATATCTTATTGTATAACACTTTCAACTTGGGTATGAATATCTTTTAAAATATTTTATAATATTCTGAGCCAAATCTGTCAGTTCCATGTGTCTTCCTTGTCTTCAATTTATTTATAATAACCTCTATTTCTTTTTCAGTAAATAATTGTTGCATTCTATCTCTGTTTATTGAAATTATTCTTTATATATTCTTCAGTTATATCTAGAGGAGATTTTTACTAATATACAGGTTTTTATATAACTTTTGAAAAGATCTACATTTCTCTTTCATTTTATTATACCTTTTCCAATTCTGGTCCTGTATTACTTTTACATTACCTTTATTATTTTTATATGAGTTGCTTTAGCTAGTAACTTGGAATTTTTATTACTAAATTCAAAAAGAATCTCTTAAGCAAATTAAATTCCTTTGTACCTTTTCCAAATGAATCCCCTCCAGTTCTTTCTTCTGCTTGTAATGCCAATATCACTTCCTTATCTCTGGTTCATATGACTATTCTTTCTACTTCTTTTATGTTGCCTTCTAATTCCTATATTCTATTCCCTTGCCTTTTTCTAAGAAAACATGCTGCTTTAGATACATACCCTCTGGTAACAGACTTCATAATGTCCCAAATTATTTTGGCTTCCCCTATTCCCTTCCTATTTATTTCCCGTGTCCCAAGGTGTTTCTTATAAGTGTTGCTTCAGGTGGCATGGTCTGCCCACCCACCCCCAGTGCTCTCCGTGGCTCTTCTCACTCTTGGCTTTTTGGTACACTGACTGACATTGGACTCATTGAGCCACTTGGAGCAAGGCAGGGAATTAAGCACCAGCACTGCAGTTCAAGAGTCTGTTTTGTTGCTCAGATACTGCAGGCAGCTGAACAAAGCCCAGAAGAAACCTCTTTCTTCCAACTCTTGCCTGTCCCACCTCTGCGACATAACAGTGGTTCATATCTTGGTCCTAAAATGTCAGGAAATGGGATAGATACTGGCAAGCTTGCAGTCCTAAACATAATGATGAGTTGGGTCATATTCCCCAATAATATTGCATATATTTTCTTGGGAATTATTTCCACTATGATGAATAGAACTTTTTTCCAAACAAGGAAACACAGGATTGAGGTACTAGTCTGTAAATTACTCAAAGAGAACTGCAGGATAATAGGTTTCTAGGCCTTCAGAATAGAACACACAGCAACCACATTTCAATACTCACATCTATGAAAGAGATTTATTTATAACAGCTTCATCTTGTAGGTCATTGCCTGGGATAAGACGACAGAAGATCTTTGCAGGGAAAATAATGAGTGTCAGAAGAAGGATAGATAGGCATAACTCAGATTTCAAATTATGTTCTTCATTTAATAAGTGCAGATTAATCACAGGTCCTTTTCACAGTAGTTACCAATAAATGCTATTGGTAGTTCCCAATAATCGTGTCCTCCAATACCAGGAGAACACAATTTCATCTAACTAGTCATATTGCTTGTGTTTTTTTGATGTGTATGAAAGATGATACCATTGTAACTATTGATTTATATTTAGCTCAGATTTGGGAATGTGCAGAGAATAAAATGAGAATAAATTTGAAGCTGGCTCTATATTTACAGGAAACTTATGCTGCACTTGGAGGTGGACAAAACACTCATTTCCAATCTGTAGTAAAGCAAAAGCAAAGCGTGCTGCTTATATACTGCCTCATAGCACTTAAAGCATTCTCTGGGTAGTTTACATGCAGTCTACACATAGCACACACCCACACCCCAAGAGCTGATTACTCATTTTACTGACCTCGGAAGGATAGAAGGCTGAGTCAGCCCTGAGCTGGCTACCTGGGATTGTACCTCAGGTTGTGAGCACAGTTTTGGCTGCAGTACAGCAGGCGTCACGACGAGGCTGAGTATATTCATCCAAAGAACTGTTGTATTCTGTTTCCACATTTGTCTGTATTTTTTTTTAAAGCCTACAAAAATAGAATAAATGTACATTTTAATACGTATTGTCAGATTAGATTAGGCATCTGTGAATCTCGAGAGACTATGGTAGCGTGCCCTGAATAGAGGAACAGTGTCTAGTGTGACTGAGAAGGCCAATACGAGAGTGGCAATCCCTTCTACACTGAAGACAAATACAATCTGTCCCCTGTCCAGCTCCCTGGTTTTGCTCATTTCGGGACTTCCTCTTTGCCTCATCTTCCTCAAAATGGGAGAGGCCATGATGCACCGCCTGCCTCCATGCTGAATGCTCATATGTCAGAGTTTCCCATCTGTTGAGGTCCAATCCTAAAGCCTCCAGATCCTGCTTTCAGATATCGTTATATCACAGCTCTGGTCTCCCTCTAGGGCACTTTCCCTGCACTAATTCTCCATACAGGAGATCTTTTGGAATCCAACCATCAGCCATTCTCCCAACATGCCTGGGCCAACGTAAACATTGCTGTTTCAGTAATGTATACATGCTAAAAATTACAGCTCATTCTAGGACTACTCTATTTGGAACTTTGTCCTGCCAGGTCATACCAAAAATGCATTGGAGACAACACATATGGAACGTGTTCAGCTTCCTCTCCTGCCATGCACAAAGGGTCCAGGACTCACTGCAGTACAGGAGTATACTCAGGAGACAAGCTCTATAGACCTGGACCTTGGTATATGTCGTCAGCTTTTTATTAAGCCATACTCTCTTTGTGAGTCTAGAGAACATGGTAGCTGCTTTGCCAATGCATTTATACAGCTCCCCATCTAGGGAGAGAGTGTCAGAGATCATTGGGCCAAGTCATGAATAACCTCCAATTCTAGTGTGGAGATGGTAATAGAGGGAGGTGAGTCAAGGTGGACATCCAATCTTGGGAAGTATTTTAAAAAGGCCGTTGCTGCTAACCAAATCAAAGGCCTTTGTAAGATCTAAGAAGGCCACAAAGAGTGGCTGTTGTTGTTCCCTTCATTTCTCCTGCAACTGTCTGATGGAAAAGACCATGTCAGTGATGGATCTATTGGCTCGAAACCCACACTGTGATTTCCATCCCTGGGTAAAATGAGTACCCAGCTCGCTGGGGGGGGGGGAACAATGTGTAGCCTGCATAATTAACTTGTAAACCGCCCAGAGGGTGCTTAAAGCTCTATGGGGTAGTATATAAGCAGCATGCTTTTGCTTTTGCTTTGCTTTTTTAAAGAATGCTTTTACTGGTTTTTAGAGTTGCCTTAGGCTGCAATCCTATTCCCAGATATGTGGGAGCCTTCTGGCTCAGTGGTAAAACTGCTGTACTGCAGCCAAAACTTTGCTCATGACCTGAGTTCAATCCCAGGTAGCTGGCTCGAGGTTCACTCAGACTTCCCTCTTTACAAGGTCAGTAAATCGAGTACCCAGCTTGCTGTAGGGCCAATGTGTAGCCTGCGTCCTTAAACTGTAAACTGCCCACAGAGTGCTTTAAGTGCTTTGAGGTGGTATATAAACAGCACATGTGGCTGGTGTCATCGCCAACACATCAATCACAGCAGTAGCTCAGCTGCTGCTTCCCTGCTCACCTGGCCACTCCAGCAAGGATGTGGGATAACAAGTCTCCCCGCTCAGCCATGGGGGGAGGCGGGGCTGCAGCAGGTGGGCTACTGCCATGATTGGCACATTGATGATAATGCCAGTCATGTGTGCCACATGGTAAGTGGAATTGCAGGTTTTGGGGATGGGAGGTAATCAGGTTGGCCACCTATGCCAGTAGGATTCATCTTTGTAGATGAAGACAAATCCCCCATCTCTAATCAGATGCTTGCTGATTGTACTTGCTCATTGTGAGCAGCTGCTTCTCCTCTTCATTGGCAGGAATAATGGGGCAACAGAGAGAGGAAGGGGTAGTGACTCCTCTCTAAGTGTGTTGTGGAGAATCAGTTAAATAACGGACTAGGGCTCATGTAAAATTATAAATGAATGAATATGTACATGCATACATTCTCTCAAAATATGCCTTTTAAGACATAATTGAATACATTTTTGACATGAGTATTCTGTTTGGAAATTCAGAACATCTGAAATCTGATGAATCAATATGTCAATACCAGGTTAATATCAGGTTTCATACAGGTGGCTTTCTTCGAGCACTCGCTCCTCAAAGAAGGAGAGAGAAAGAGAATGTGTGACAAAGTTGACATTTTTTTCTTTTAAAAGTTAGTGTGTATGGGAGTTTACAGTGATCACATTCCTCAAGTATCCTGAGGTGTGTGCCCTTCCCCTTCCTAAAGAGGTGCAGCTGCCTCACACAAACATCTTGGCATTTCAGCTGACAGAATGTATTGGGAAAGGAGCAGCACTTAATTCTTTGCACTTAATTGACAGGGATGCCTGACTGTTCTTAACTGTTCTCCTGTTGCACCTATTTGTACATGGCTACTCCTCTTACATTTTATAGAGGTTCTGATGCGTGCTGAGTTTCTTTTTCCACTTGCTCAAAATTATTTCTCCATAGTTGAGCCCTAAATGCTGATGCAGTCATTATTTCGCTGGAGACATTGATACCACCAGATGTTTAGTGTGTTCTGAATTTTAGAATTTTTATATATATACTTTTTATAGAAGGTTATTCTTTGTTATTGTGTCCAGTATTGTGTCCAGGTCTAGACACCACACTTCAAGAAGGATGCAAACATATTGGAACAAGTTCAGAGGAGGGTGACAACGATGATCAGGGGGCTGGAAACCAAGCCTTATGAGGAAAGGCTGAAAGAATTGGGCATGTTTAGCCTTGAGAAAAGAAGGCTGAGGGGTGATATGATAGCACTTTTCAAATATTCCAAAGGCTGTCATACAGAGGAGGGGCAACATCTGCTCTCAATCATCCCAGAGTACAAGACGTGCAAAAATGGGCTCAAGTTAAATGAAGGCAGATTTCAGTTGAATATCAGGAAAAAAATTCCTAACTTTTAGAGCAGTATGACAGTGGAACTAGTTTACTGGGGAGTTGGTGAGTGCTCCAACACTGGAAGCATTCAAGAAAAACTGAGATAATAACCTGCCAGATATGCTTTGATGGTATTCCTGTATTGCGCGGGGAGTTGGACTTGATGGCCTTGTAGGCCCCTTCAAACTTCACTTTTCTATGATTTCTATGTAATAATAACAGTGCACCAATTTAAACAACAAAATACTATGTATCGTGAAGAACTGTTATCACTTGAAAACTTTATACCATTGAGGCTTTTCTTTGGCTTTCTGGTTTTTTCTACAAAATGGGTGGATAAAGGCTGGGCAGGCATGTCTGTGGAGATCAGTATTACCTGTAGAACCTCTGTTGGAGGTTTACCCAGGTTTCGTGACCTGGAGAGGACACTCCAGCTTCGCACACAGCGTCGAAACACTAGGGCTGCCTCCCAAGGCAGACGAGTCCCACCTACCGGCCTGCTCCCTCAGACCAACCCCAGTGGACACAATAGAAAGTCACCAGAAAACTCTGATTTCAGACCCCCACTGAGGCACTGCCATCGTCCTCCATGCCGTGAGGGAGCAGGCCGGGTAGGTGGGACTCATCAGCCTTGGAAGACAGCCCATCTAGGAAAAGGAAAACTCTGATTTCAAACCTCCACTGCCTTGTGGCTATATCCACTGATGGAAAAGACTTCAGGAGTCAACCTCGAGGAAAAATCCGGAGCCAGAGTCCCAGAGGCAGTTCATGACATTCTGTCAACTCCTGCGATGGCACTAGAACCAGTTTTATTGGCTCTTGCCTT